TGGCTTGCTGCTGCCACTGGCAAGTCAGGCTGGGCTGTGTATTCATCGGCACCACAGCACGCTGTCATTTTCCGCCACGGAAGCCAGCTAAATAATCTGATATTGAGTTGATAACCACGTCGCAGCAAAAACTTGATTTAGAGACGTATGACCATAGAGCCAATAGCCCGCGCTAGTTATTCCTTCCAAACAGCACAGCAAAAATCTTTTGTTTTGGTATTGAGTCTTTCGTAACCGTGTTTTTAGCAATACTACCAAGTATTGCACTTAAGTGGTTTTCGTTTGTGTCTGTGGCACTAATCTCAGTCTTTGTCCCGCTCCAGTTAATAGGCTGCATTATTGGCAGACAAGGCAGTAAGATAAATGAAATCAGGCAGATGTCAGGAGCGCAGATCAAGATTGCTAATGCCACAGAAGGCTCCGCAGAACGACAAGTTACAATCACAGGATCCCCTGCAAACATCAGCTTAGCACAGTACCTCATTAATGCAAGGTAAGTTTGTTTTGTAAGTGATAATGCTTCTGCGAGATTGCTCTGCGTGCTCTCCAGCAAATGTCCTGGATAGATCCAGAAAGTTGCTTTGCAGTGTCCGTTTTGCATAGGATTATTCAATTCCTAATGATTCGTAACGCCTCTGTCATTAGAACTTGTGTTTGCGGTTGGTTTATATGGAAAGCAGCTTAATCTGGTGCAATTCCAGGTACATGTTGAATGGCAAAAGCTGAAAAATCTGAATACTCACATTGGCATCCACCTAAAATATAGGTGGATAACTTAAATGACAATCATAAATTTTTTTAGAAGAAAATACTTGTCACAGACCCATTTTACTGCCCTAAATGGCAAATATAGTGAAACAGATTGCAAAACAGATTTAATTTACTAACTGGAAATTGCCACTCAGTGTTGATATTAAACTGACATTTGGTTGCTAAAGGGGCACAAGATTTATTTTTTTCAGCGACAGCATCACAAATTTGTAAATCGCATTCCCTAATGAGACAGGGTGAGACTATCTGCTTCTCTACTTCTCAGTGCCAGAATTAATGAAAGCACTGGCTGTTCAGCTAAGCCGTTGCGACAGCCTAAGTGTCTGTCAGTTTTGGTATGATTATTTAGAAAAATATTAAAATTGATACCACCTTTATTTGCAATTATCCTGAGAAGATAGTGCAGTGGATATAGTGCTGTCTCATAGATCTACTTGTAAATGGTGGACAGAGGCAATATGTTGGGGGGGGGGTATCTATGTATTTTATTGCTTTTTTTTTTTTCCCCTTTTCTTTCCCCACCCCGAAAAGTACTGTGAACCAAGCTTTGTGTTTAACTATGTTTGCTGTTAAGGTAGTAGAAAGTATGTGATTTATGGGGGGGAGGAGGTGCTGTAGTCACAGCAGGTCTACAGTCTCCTATGGTCCAACCTCCTCTCCAGCCCACTTCTGTAGTAACCACTGCAAGCCACTGTAAATGTCTTAATGGAGGAAAAGGATGTTTGTGCAGCTCTGTCTTACAGCAAACAGGAATATGATTTTTTTATAATTCAGTTTGAAAGTAGTTTCCTAGGGAAAGATATATGGAGGGGTGGCATTGTGAAGCCTAAGATAAGCCGTTTCCAGAAGCCTAAACCAGCCTACAGATCTTTTGATTTATATTCTTTGTAGCAAATATAAATCACTTCCGTAAGCCCTGTAATCAAATAAAAATGTGTTCCCTCCTTTAACCCTTAAGGATATGTTCTTCTCTTGGTGTTCAGGGATTCCCCACACATCGAGACGAGAATAGACCCCTTCATTTTTAGTTGCACAAACACCATATGGCATGCATCTGGATCTCAGAAGATAACAATTTAAGATCTTCAAGACAGCTAAAGCATGCAAATAAAATAATGCACTTATTAATGGAGTTGCAGTGAGCTGCTCACCAGAGACAGAAACTCTAGTGAACAAACCTGTTTGACTCACTTTAGAAAAGCCTGTGAACTCTCACGCTTCTGTTTATTACTGTTTAATGATTCTTTTGATGGAATGGGATACATATGAGGTCTTTTAACATACTTTTGCAAAGAAGAAAACTTCTCAGCAGTCATATACCGCGGATACTCTATCTATACCCTGGGAAACCAGAAACAAAATATTTTCTTCCTGTTGAATTTCTAGATAGAAGTTATTTGTTACCATCATCTACAATAAACCATCGTATATTATTATGTACCATGTGTTGAAACTGTATTTAGATGAAGTGACTTCATTTGTAAATGAAGACTCTTAAAGTAATGTATAATAAATTAAGCTGTAAGGTGACATAGGACATTAAGGTGGCTTTTTCATTTTAAAAAGTGACTCTGTTCCAGATTTCTCCTTTCCCAAGAGAAATTCCTGTCCAGTTAGGTGCCACCGCAGCAGCAGTGCTAGTTCACAGTCGCACTGGAGGAAGAACCGAGAAACTTTCAGGCAAGAGGGAGGTCTGCTCTAGCTGGGGTTTAGGTGCTCGGGCAGGATTTAAGAGGCAGATCAAGGCTGCTGCTGCCTGTGCACGCTGGGAGCCAATTTTGGTTTGTCAGTTCTAAACCCGTCACAAGTACTGCCGTCTCTTTTAAAGATGCTGGCATGAAGTAAACAGTGTTGGGGGAGAGCGGAGTACAGTACCTAGACTGCCCAAGGTATAGTCTGGTATGTCAAAATAATAATTATAATACATAAAAGCCATATAAGCATTCAGGGTAAGGTGGACTTCTTTTTTTCGCTCCCCAACAAGATCTGTTATTCTTGTGGATTTGCTTTCCAGGGCCAGTATTTCTGCAAAAATCAGTGTCTCAGAGCAGCATAGGATGTAAGGAGAAAAAAAAAAAAAAGCTATCCACTGTATTCCTGAAACAATCTGTGTGTATCTTTAAACTATCCTCCTACCAAAGTTGCCATCTATAGAGTAATTTATCAAGCTGTTTTAAGACTTTTATTGCAATCTGGTGTTGAATATGTACATAATATACTCTAAATTATAGATATATAAATACACTGATACAATATCAAGACAGAGATTTAAATCTTTCTAAAGTGTTGGTTTGATTCTGTGTTGATCACCTGAGCACTGACCTCTGTACGAGTAGAACGTGTCCCACCTTGTTTGCAGTAGAAGTGTCTTTTGTTCCTGTAAAATCTTCTGTCTCTTAACTGGTCTCCATTGTCGTAACTGGATTTTCATTATCCAATTCCATCTTCTAGCTTTTATTAAGAATGAACCGCAGTTTAGGTTTCCTGTGTAATATTTGACTGTGGATTATAAATGAGTTGTAGCCAGCAGCACTTTCTCCTTGTTGAAGAGCAGTTTCCTGAAGATATTTTTTTACTGCCGTTTTGATGAGAGGTTCATTCACAGAGCTAACAGGACTGCCAGAGCCACACTTGAGCTTTATTCCTTTCACCAGTTTTGGGTAATGCAGGACACGGCCTTCGGTGTATATATTCATGAAGTGTAGTTCTTCAAAGGGACAGTGTAAAATTGGCACCATGAAATTTTGTATGAAGGCTGCCTCATCGCCTTTCACATTCGATTTTGTTGCATCTACAATTGGCTTGGGAAACTGCCCCTGTCAGGGGACAGCTGATTGATAGCTAACCTGACGTACTTTCACCTTATGCATTACCACCAGTAATAAATGTGAAGCAGGGCAAATTACTGCTTTAGTCGTACCTGTGCGAGTACACTAGAGACAGGGAGTTTGAGTGGCTGCTACCAGCATTTAGCCTGTGGGATCCATTCTCCCTGCTGGTGCAGGAAAAAGCTCAGGCTCCAATACCGCCTTCCCCCCCCCGCCCCCGGCCCATATCTGAAAGGAATTTTTTGTTTTTGTTAAATGCAAGGTAGGCAAATTTGGAGTCACTGAAACAGTGAGTCCTGCATTATCTGTCTCTGTGGCTCCCTCCCAGAATAATACTGAGTTAGAAATACAAAAACCTCCAACTGTATAAACTGAGTTTTTCAAAACCTACTAAGGTATCACCACGTAAACCCTACACCCCAAGTCAAGGATGTATGCTGGAGTTTGATCCACCATTCCAGTGAACAGAAACAAGTATTCTTGATGTAAATCCCACTGTGCGAGTAGATTGCAAGTAGCACAGCTAACAGCACAAGGATGCCCGGCTCTCTGCGAAGAGCAACTCTGCTGCAGAGGTTGGAAAAATTCTGAGATGCTCATCCACAGGGACAGATAAACACCACAGGGTAGGAAGACCAAAGCTTTACCTCCTACAGTCGGGTCTGCATTTTGTGCATTTGCCCTCCTCCCCTCCCAGCCCCTCGGAGAAGATGTGCATCTTCCAATTTCCCAGCAAAAGCCAATGAGGAGTTAATAGTCCCACGAGCCCTCTTTCTTTTGCAGGAGCTCAGTGTTGAAGCGTTTCCCTCTCGCCTCCACTCTCCTCTGCCTGGCTCAGACCCGCTTTGGGCATCCTTTAGACTCACCTTCGGCAGCAGTGTTTTGGGAAGCTTTAGTCCAACGTCCCCATTCCCTATACAGTGCTGGTTCATTGCTTGCGTCCTTGCCCTTGCGCAAAGCGGGCAAGCCTTCTGGTGGCTGCCTTTCTCTGGCCACGGATAGACCAGGGGCTGTTATTCTGCAGACTGCGTGTTAAGTCGAAGGTGAGGAAAAGCGAGGCTCTCCCAAGCCCTGAGTAGGGCGACTGTGCTCCCCTCCCTTGTGCTGGGCAAGGAGCCTGGCTACAGCCGCTCTGCAGCCCTGAACGCCCGGCCC